GGTTCAGAGGACAACTGTGCAAACGTCCTAAAATAAATCCACAGGGGTACAACCCACTGGCTGAGATCGGGAGTACTTATGACTAAGTGAAAACAGAGCGCGCGAATCCCAACCAGAAAACGGCCTCAAGCTCTCGCAGTCCCAGGGGATGAAAACGCTGACCGGAAGACCTTCAAGCTTGGTTTAACGGGGATAGATCTCCGAGGTGGTAGCGCTGGCCTTCTGATCACTATCGAGTACTCCATTGCCATGAAGAGACTGAGCCACCCGAAGAGCCGGCCCGTTTTTCTGCTGACATTTCGACCGTCGTGAACATCAACTTCCATTGTGTGCCCTACGAAGTGGGCGCTGCACTGACGAAATTTGCGTGAATTAGTTTACAGTGAGGTGGACTTACGCAGCGTCCACTGCACTCTTTATACCCTTACCCATCTGGTTCCGATGGCAAGACAATGTCGAGACGACCAAAATCGGGCTCGGGTGAAGTGACTGACGAAGCTAGGCAGCCCTTCTGCGCGTGCCACACAAGTCCTGCCATCCGCAACATTTGCCGGGCCTCCGAAGGGGGGGGGGGTCTCAGATCTCATATCAGTTGGAGTGCCATAACGGTCATTTCGACCTGATTCCCACTCCTCCGGGCACCCCAAAGTACTCCCATAAGCGTCGAGTTATCCCGTCCGTAGGCAACCTTGCGAGCCACGAGTCGTTATAGGTTTAAGCGGCTCAAGGCTACGGTGAGGAATGCGACAGAAGGATAAATTCTCCAGTGTTGGCCGCTCTCTCTCGCACTTACCAATCGATTGCCCAGGCCCGTTAACCAGTGCCGAGATGCATGCACTGGAGACATGGCTACTTCTACTTTGTCTGCCGTCTTTAGATAACCACAGCCCTGGCCAGGCGGACTCGAGGTTTGAACCCGGGTTCGCAGGACAACTGTGCAGACGTCCTAGAACTGGTCCACTGGCTGAAATCAATAGTATTTATGACAGAGCCCGCGTATTCCAACCCGAAAACGGAGCAGATCTGTGGACGACAGTCCCGTGTAAAGCAGGATCGTGCTTCAGCCAGCACTCTCAACTCTTCCTAGCTGGACACGTCCTCGAGTACTGTGCAGAAATGCCCAACAAGTCTCTCGGAGGTCTTTGGAACATGAAAAATAAACTCGCGCACAGCCGATGGAACATTTCAGACAGCATTACTTTTTGACTTTTCGTTATCTCCTGACCCAAGCATATAGGCTTGCTTCGATATTACTTGTTCCATTCAGTACCGCGTACCGGTTATTGTACTATTTTAGCATAGAAAGCATTCACAGGCAAATGTATACCAGTAACCAATGCTTACAGTAGATGTGCTAACTCATGAAATGTCAACCAAAATCTCGAAATGCGTTCTCGTTTCGAAAAGACAAATTAAGTAGTGTTGTAAAACTAATTATGATGCGACATAAATCTATAATGATCCAGTTACCTCAGGGTGTCGGCTTTCGAAAGAACTTATTTTCGGCTGCATGCAAGATCTATACTCTGCAAAAATGACTACTTATGTAGTATGCAATTTTCTCATTGATTTTCGATGCCCTTGAAAATTCAATTATATTTCATGGAAAACATGCATAAAAATATTCATTCTTTTACTTTTTCGGTAGAAAATCACGTCTTATTCTAACTTCATACTCAAAAGGAGAGTTTAATTCGGTTTTAAAAAAGTTTCTAATTGTGAGATTTTTAACACCGTTAAATGGCCGTTCATGAAACGTCATGTATCTGCATTTACGAATGCGACTTGTAAAGTTAACAATATTGCTCAAATCCACTGCTTAATTTTATGAACCTCATATGGTCTCCTCTTAACACCGTAGAGAAATGCATGGTTTTCCGTACACGGAAAATATACAGCTTGTAGTTTTGAAACCCTGAATGCAAGTGTAGCAGCAGGTCGGGTTGAAAATTATTCGGGAATTAGAAAATTTATTTAAAACTAATTTATTCTCTTCTGTTGAGTATGAAATTGGCAGAAGACGTGATTTTCTGCCGAATAAGTAAAAGAATGAATATTTTTATGCATGTTTTCCATGAAATATAATTGAATTTTCAAGGGCATCGAAAATCAATGAGAAAATTGCCTGATACTTAAGTAGTCATTTTTTGCAGAGTATAGATCTTGCATGCATCCGGAAGGAAGTTCTTTCGAAAGCCGACACCCTGAGGTAACTGGATAATTATAGATTTATGCCGCAGCATAATTAGTTTTACAACACTACTTAATTTATCTTTTCGAAACGAGAACGCATTTCGAAATTTTGGTTGACATTTAATGAGTTAGCACATCTACTGTACCTAATTTTCATTGACACTTGCCTTACGCATTGTTTTTGTGAGGTTATTGTAACCAAAAGAGATTTCAAAGGCACTCGCCTACCTTTCCCTTAATAAATCTGATCTGATCTGCTCTACCACCACCACCGCAAAATCGGGTCGGATGGGGATAATCTATTTGGTCACATCTTTCTACGGCTCGCGCATAGCGTGTGGCAACATCTGGAGCACTTACATAC